CCAGGCCGAGGACCCCTCGGGAGCCTGACCACTCTGTTTGCCTTGTAGATGGCCCGGGGTACCGCAGTGCCCAGAAGCCCCTGGAAACTGACAGGAGAGAGGATGGCGGTGAGTAGGAGGGAGAGTCTGGATCCTGTGCGCGGGCAGTCAGCCCTGCTTCCCCGCCCCGTGCAGGCTGGACCTGGGCACGCTTCTTCCTAAGTCACGGGACCAGTCAGCTGGGGCTGCCACTGCAGACAGCATAGACCGGGGTTTAAGCCACAGAAACACGCAGTCTTCCAGCCCGGGAGCCAGAGACCAGGTGCAGGCTTGGCCAGTTCTGGCGGGGCCCTCTTCTCACAGATGGCCCCTTCCCACGGGCCTTCTACGGTGGGCAGGAGAGAGGGACCAGGTGCTTCTTTGTGTCAGCGAACTAACCCCGTCAGGAGGCCTCGGCCTCAGGCCTCACAGAAGCCTGAGGACACCCCAGGCTCGTCTCTGAACACCGTCCCATCGGGGTCAGGGCTTTGGCATGCGAACTCAGGGGGCAGGACTCAGTACATGGGATCACTTCCACAGGGCTCCTTCGGGGGCTGCTTGGTGTGGAGGGTCTCAGACTGCTGCGTCGGGAGGGAGGTGCTGGGCTGTACCCCGGGGTTATGGGCGGGACTCGGATGTGAGATCCGGCAGGTTCCTCAGACATTGCATGTTCTTGGGAGGGTTAGGGAGCAGCCTGGGAGCTGGGCAAACCCACAGGTTCACTGACATGGAGGAGTCACGGGAGCGTGTTCCAGGGCTCGCACACCCAGGTGGGGTGGGGGACGGTGCACAAGGAGTTGCACCTGAGGGTTCTGACCCTCAGGAGCTCACGTCATCACTCAGTGGAGACTCCGACCTGGGAAAGGGATGGACACGTGTGGCCTTCTGTCAGCGCAGACCCTTCATTTGGCAAACACGTGTCCTAGCCCACTGTATTCTAGACTGTTCTGAATGCCTGGAAGATATTAACTCTCAGAACCTAGCTCCCTGGAGTATTTGCTTTAAACAATGTGGACACCCAGCAACAAGG